TGGTTGAGTACCCATAACCCATCTATTTCGTGGCAGGAGAGGGCTCTGATGGAGTGGTCTGCCCAGTGTGTGGGTCGATGTTTAGGCGTTTCCGTAGGGGCTACCTCGGTGGAGAGTCCAAACCAGGTGCCCGCATTGCACGTTCCCCCTGAGTATGGGGATTTGGCTATTGTGTTCAGTAAGTCGAGGGCGACGCAGTTGCCTCCCCATAGGCAGGGAGATTGTGCGATAGACCTCCAGGCAGGAGCTGCGCTCCCACGGAGCCATGTGTATCCTCTGTCTCAGGAGGAGAAGAGAGCTATGGAGACGTACATAGACGAATCTCTGAGACAAGGATACATACGGCCCTCCACTTCCCCTGCGTCCTCGAGTTTCTTTTTTGTGAAGAAAAAGGATGGAGGATTACGCCCGTGCATTGATTACCGTGGTCTCAATCAGATCACGGTGAAGTACAGTTATCCACTCCCGCTGATTGCGACCATGACGGAGTCATTGCACGGGGCACGTTTCTTCACTAAATTAGATCTCAGGAGCGCGTACAACTTGGTGCACATTAGGGAGGGCGATGAATGGAAGACAGCCTTTAGTACCACCTCGGGCCATTACGAGTATCTCGTCATGCCATACGGGTTGATGAACGCTCCTTCAGTTTTCCAATCGTTCGTGGATGAGATCTTCAGGGACATGCAGGGGCAGGGGGTGGTCGTGTACATCGATGACATTCTCGTGTACTCGCCTACCCGAGTCGAGCATGTGGCCCTGGTGCGCCGAGTGTTGCGGAGGCTGTTGGAGCACGACCTGTATGTCAAGGCAGAGAAGTGTCTGTTCTTCCAGGAGTCGGTCTCCTTTTTGGGTTATCAGTTGTCTGCGTCAGGGGTGAAGATGGAGGTAGACCGGGTGTCGGCCGTGCGTAATTGGCAAACGCCAACCACTGTGAAGGAGGTGCAGCAGTTTTTGGGGTTTGCGAATTATTACCGGAGGTTTATCCGGGGTTTTGGACAGGTGGCAGCTCCCATAACGTCTCTTTTGAAGGGGGGTCCGGTGCGTCTGCAGTGGTCAGCCGAGGCGGACAGGGCGTTTGGGAGGCTGAAGGACCTGTTTACCTCGGCTCCGGTGCTGGCGCATCCGGATCCCTCTTTGCCATTTCAGGTAGAGGTGGACGCGTCAGAGGCCGGTATAGGAGCCGTGCTGTCGCAACGGTCCGGCGCGCCATCTAAACTCCGCCCCTGTGCCTTCTATTCCAAGAAGCTCAGTCCGGCGGAGCGAAACTATGACGTGGGGGACAGGGAGCTGTTAGCCGTAGTACAGGCCCTAAAGGTGTGGAGGCACTGGCTTGAGGGGGCTCAACACCCTTTCCTCATTTTGACGGACCACCGTAACCTGGAGTACATCCGGGCAGCTAGGAGGCTGAACCCTCGCCAGGCGAGGTGGAATATGTTTTTGACCCGGTTCACATTTAAGATCACGTACATCCCTGGGTCACAGAACGGTAAGGCAGACGCACTGTCTCGGCGGTATGACACGGAGGAGAGGTCCGTGGAGCCCACTCCCATACTGCCGGAGTCGTGTCTGGTGGCACCGGTAGTGTGGGAGGTCGATGCTGAACTCGAGCGGGCGTTACGCACCGACCCTAGTCCACCGCAATGCCCGGAGGGTCGGAAGTACGTTCCGCTCGAGGTTTGGGATCGATTGATCTATTGGGCTCACACGTCACCCTCCTCTGGACACCCTGGTATCGGCCGGACAGTGCACTGTCTTAGTGCCAAGTACTGGTAGCCCACGTTGGCGAGGGATGTGAGGGTTTATGTTTCCTCCTGCTCGGTGTGCGCCCAGTGTAAGGCGCCTAGACATCTGCCTAGGGGTAAGTTACTACCCCTGCCCGTTCCACAACGACCATGGTCTCACCTCTCGGTGGATTTCCTCACTGACCTTCCTCCTTCACAGGGGAATACCACTATACTGGTCGTTGTGGACCGGTTTTCTAAGGCCTGTCGTTTGCTCCCTATGCCGGGCCTTCCTACTGCCCTGCAAACCGCCGAAGCACTATTCACCCATGTGTTCCGGCACTACGGGGTACCCGAGGATATTGTGTCTGATCGAGGTCCCCAATTTACCTCCAGAGTCTGGAGAGCTTTTATGGAGCGGTTGGGGGTCTCGGTGAGCCTCACCTCGGGTTACCACCCGGAGAGTAATGGGCAGGTGGAACGCGTGAACCAGGATGTGGGGAGGTTTCTTAGAACATACCGCCAGGATCGGCCGGAGGAGTGGGCAAGGTACGTTCCCTGGGCCGAAATGGCCCAGAATTCCCTACGCCATTCCTCCACTAACCTAACCCTTTTTCAATGTGTGTTAGGTTACCAGCCGGTTCTGGCACCTTGGCAGCAGAGCCAGATCGAGGCTCCTGCGGTGGATGAGTGGGTGCGGCGCTCGGAGGGGACATGGAACGCTGCACACGTCCACCTGCAGCGGGCCCTCCGTCGTCATAAGGCGAGCGCCGATCTCCACCGCAGTGAGGGACCGGTGTACGCACCTGGTGATCGAGTCTGGCTCTCTACCAGAAACCTGCCCCTCCGCCTGCCCTGTCGGAAACTGGGTCGGCGGTTTGTAGGGCCATTTAAAGTCCTGAGAAGGTTGAACGAGGTGTGTTACAAATTACAACTACCTGTTGAATATAAAAGTATTAACCCCTCGTTCCATGTGTCTCTTCTCAGGCCGGTGGTAGCTGGCCCACTCCAAGAAAGTGAGATCAGGGAGACTCCTCCGCCCCCATTGGACATCGAGGGGGCACCGGCGTACTCCGTGCGGTCCATCTTGGATTCGAGACGTCGGATGGGGGGTCTCCAATATCTAGTGGAGTGGGAGGGGTACGGTCCGGAGGAACGGTGCTGGGTGCCGAGGAGAGACATTTTGGACCCGTCTCTCCTGACGGAATTCCATCGTGGGCACCCGACGCACCCTGCTCCGCGTCCTCCTCGTCGTCCCCGAGGCCGGAGTCGGCGCACGTCTGGAGCCGCGCGTCAAGGGGGGGGTACTGTCACGGTTTCGGCCGAGACTGCCTCTCTTCCATGCTCGGGCAGGCTTCGGCGTTCGTCGTCTCCGGAATACTAGCTGCCACCGTTGCATGTTTCTATGTTCGTTTGCTTTTGTCTGTTTGTTGTGACACCTGTTATCGTTTAGTGTAATTAGTGTCCTATAAGTTCTCGTTGTGTTTGTCTAGTGTTGTGTGTGATTGCTTTATTTCTGTCGTACGTTGCTGGACGTGTATACTATATCGCTCGGTTGAGCTATTCTCCACTGTGTTGGAGCGTTTGACGCACCTGTGTAGTGCGCCCGTTTTGTTTTGTCGCCTACGTGCGGAGTTTCGCCTTCGGGCAAGTTTGTTCATTTTCCCTTGTGGATATTCACTAAAGTCTTTTGGACTGTACTTCGGTGTCCTGCGCTTGATTCCACCACTACACCCACCTACAGCATCACTGACAACCTCCCACTGTCCTCACTTTGATTATGCTGTAGAACATACATTATGATGATGTGCGATCACTCTCAAATGCAGACAATGACCCAAAACACACTGCCTCCCAGGTTTGCAATGCAAATGAGGGTCAAAACTGGGTCAAGACGCCAGCAGAGTAAGTAGACCTACAAAACTTTTTCACAGCACATTACTTAACACTAGTGAGACTCACCTCGCCTACGGTAGGCCTACAGTATATCTAAATATTTCTACATGTAGGTCTCCTGATTTAAACCAGATCGAACTTGTTTGGCATCAACTGAAAACATTCATCCGTAACTCTGCCAAGCCTACAAGCAAAGATGAACTGGTGAAGGCCATCAAGATGTATTTTTGGCTTGAGAAACGGACGATACAATGCAACAAATACATTGATCATCTCAGCAAGGTTTTACACGTGGTCGTGGAGCTTGGGGGGAAGTGCAACTAAAATGTAGTTGAGATGTAGTTGACATCAGGGGTGCAACTTTCACTGGGGATGGGGGGGGACATGTGCACCCCAGTTTTATAATTGGAATGTGATACAAAACGACGCAACGGTGTGCTTTAGGACCATGCGGATGCCTCAGAGCGGTCGGGTAGGCTGTTTTGGAGTGTTTATCCGACTGGATTAAAAAATATATATATATAAATATTATGTCCCCCCCACTTCTAAAACAGTATTTTTTATCATTATTTTATTAACAAAACATAAAGATGTCGATGAACAAATACTGTATATGCGTCTTTCTTTTGGAAATATATAAATCATTACCTATCATAAGGTTGATTTGATTATTATGTGAATTATAATAAATTGACATATTTGTAGGAGGGTTGACGCATTTTTCATTAGGGCAAATCAGGTCTGTGATATTGATACATTTCTAACTTTAGTCTTGTATCGGGTGAACTGTTGTGTCCTCACAATTGGTCTGACAATTTCCCCATAATCTCCAAAGTGTTCTCTTTCAATTGCTACTTCAATATATATCTTCAATATAGACGACAGCGGAGTCACTCACCACCTTCCGGAGACATTTGAAACCCCACCTCTTTAAGGAATACCTGGGATAGGATAAAGTAATCCTTCTACCCCAACCCCCCCCCCCCTCCTAATAAAAGAAAAGAAAAGAAAAAATAAATAAAGAAAAAAAAGAAAAAAATTAAAACATAATAAAAAATAAAAAAACATTGTAAAGTGGTTGTACTACTGGCTATAATGTCAATGCACCAATTTGTAAGTCGCTCTGGATAAGAGCGTCTGCTAAATGACGTAAATGTAAATGTAAATGTATAGCTCTCCAGTATGTGTACCAAAACATTCAAGGGCCATTTCTCAAAAGTGGGGTTACAAGTTTAGAATTACTTTCTCATTGTTCATCAACTACAGTGTATGTTACATTTTATTTTCTAGCTCAGAGTCTCTAGTTTTATCCAATGTAAAAAACACTATTTCAAATTTTGCCTCATAGCACCGGACCCAGGTGATGGGTCACATATGACTGTATACCTGATGGGCCTGGTGGAGCCGCTCCATCCTCTCAGCCAGGACCTGACAGTCGAACTCTCTGCTCTTCCTCAGCATCTGCCTGCGTAACTTCTCCACGGATGTACGCAGCTCGTCCTTCTGCATGTCACTCAGAGGCTCGCCGTATCCGATCACCTTGTCCTGCTGCAGTGCGTTGTACAGAGTAGCCTCCAGCTCCTGGATTTGCTGTGGGGGGAAGGTCGAGGGAGTAGTTAGCTACAGTGACGATAATGATATGTGTAGATATTCATCATTTATAGTATGTCGGTACTGGCTAGGGGAGAGGTGTACGCACAAACGCACGCACGCACGCACGCACGCACGCACGCACGCACGCACGCACGCACGCACGCACGCACGCACGCACGCACGCACGCACGCACGCACGCACGCACACACACACACACACACACACACACACACACACACACACACACACACACACACACACACACACACACACACACACACACACACACACACACACACACACACACACACACACACAAACACACACACAAACACACATTTATGTTACCCTTACAGTATGTTCAAAGCGTATATTAAATGTAACACCTTTGAGGCCAATAAAGAAGTAAGCCTGTATTTAAAGGTAGGTGGCTGAAAGAGTGGGAATGCATCTGGAGGGTACTCACCACGTAGGCCTGATCCAGGGCTGACTTCCTGTAATCCAGCTCCTCTTCCAGATAGCCTTTCTGCTTGCAGAACATCTCCTGTGGAGGACAGTGCTCTCTGGTCAGTGCTCTGATCTTAATACTGAAGAACTCATTACCAACCTCACCAGTCCCTAACATCACGCAACAGTTAGTGATAGGTAGTGTTGTCTATACGCCTTCGAATTCGGAAGTATTTTTTGTACTTATGTACAATGCACAAATTATAGTTCTTTGAGCATCTCTTCCATCGTATTGTGCACAGCAATCTGGCATTTTAGTTTCATGGAACAGAGTAAAAACTTCTCAAGTCAAGCCCAGTCCGTGTGAAGTGACTGTGAGTGAGTCCCCTGTAGCTCAGTTGGTAGAGCATGGCGCTTGCAACGCCAGGGTTGTGGGTTCGTTTGCCATGGGGGGCCAGTATGAAAATGTATGCACACACTAACTGTAAGTTGCTCTGGATAAGAGCGTCTGCTAAAATGTGATGTGAATGGAGAAGGGACTCACCATCTCTAGCTCCAGATCCATCATCTTCTGGTGCAGCGCTGCCTCTGTGCCCTCAATCTGTTGTATCCACTAGGGGGAGACAAAACGCAGATAAGAAACAACGCTATATAAATGGCTATTCTATTGCTTACAAGTTACTCTGAACTAAGCATCAATAATTGTATTTGCATACCTTTTCAGCAAGAGAGAGGACAGTGCTAGCTTGAATAATGGCCACTTGCTCCTCATTTCGCAAGTTCTAAACAAACAAAAAAAAGGTTAAACAACCTTGACTTTCAATCCTTCGCGCAAAGGAGGAGTGATTTTTAATTAGCAAAACATCAGTAATAACGTATTATAGAGCCCTTCCAAGCAGACTTACCCCGTTATCACCCAGAATGTCTAGCAGCTTGATCAGGTCAGGTATACAGACATCCTGGGAAAGGATCAAAATAAACAATCAGCATCCTATTTCACCTACATTTCTTTGCAGAAAGACAAAATATGATGTCTTATAATACTAATGAGATATTGAGATGGGTTATACCTTCACTCCTTCCTTCATGCAGTAGATCTGAAGGGCGCTGACACCCTCGGAGAATGGATGCATGCGGAGATGATTAAACGGAGGGGACTTCCGCTCACGCTCCTACAGGAGGAAAATGTAATTTATTTAATCAGTTAACAGCATTGGTTAAACAGATTGAATGATTGGACAAAGAAGACTGCGGAGGGAGTCAGTGGAGGGACATGTTCTGCTGTTTTATTCTCTATCCAGTAGATGGAAGCACCATCCTTTTGGGGGCTTATTGCAGTATCTCCACTGCAGCACAGAATGCACAAAGCCCTGTGTTCTGAGCCTGTCTGAGCCTGGCCATGGGAGGAAGGGGGGGCAATACAGAGGTCCCAGAGACATGACTGATACTAGTGCTGAGCGATTAGTGCTATTTGAGGTCGGTTCGGTTTCAGATAGATTATTTAAAAAATGATCACGGCTTTCGATTTAGATTTCAATCATTTTTTGTGGGACATTAAATGCACTATGCATTATTTGGGTTGAATTCTGTAACAACATAGAATAAAACACTTTACTAAAAGTCCCATGATGGTAGTGACTAACCATTACTGCTTATCACTTATCACTTATCAACCATCATTTATTCACATTGTGTATATTACATTTGTTTTAGGCCTATTTGACAACTTTAATATTTCATTCCAAGTCATCATCTCATCTCTATAGAGCTGCTGCCTATGCTGTCTGACAAAATCACTATTTTAGTAGTTCTTCAAAGTAAATAAGGCATACTTGATTGACTGCTGAATACCAACTATCAATCTTAGATCACGTATTTTCAGATAGAGAATACGAAGCAACTTCTCTCCATCCCTCTTAATCCCACGTTCTTCTGTCTCTTCTCTCCGCCTCAGACCGGACAAGTAGGCTCGCAATGGACTATGGTCTTTGTAGGTCATGACCATGTTTTTTGAGCTAAACCATGTAGAATATTGGCCTGTTGAAAACTACAACTCCCTACTACATCGCACAGTTCGGACTGCGTCTATCTCTAGAGAAACTGAGCATTGCGCTCACAAAAAAATATTTAAAAAAATAAAACCCGAAAATAACCAACATTTCAGTTAATCGCTCAGCACTACTGATATAATGTTTAGAATGTATCTAAATATTTGTGTAGACACAAACAAAAATCTGCTATATATCTATTGGTGGGCATATTACAAACCCATGATTTATCTTTCTCCATGTCACCACTGCTCTTTTCTTTTTTTCTTTAAACAGCTGTGATTCCACTCAAATGTATGCTTCATTGATATTTGTCAATCATAAAGGCTCACCTCTAGTAGAAAATACAAATATATTTTCACGATTTCAGTTATATCATCAAATCGATAAATCACAGCACGTTTTTGGACTCATTCGGAACTTTTAAGAGTTCCTATTCTGTTAACTCATACCCAAATAATGTTGTTGACTCGTCCTATACTCGTATTTGTGGCCAAAGCATAAATTGGAGAAAAAAAAACGTTGAAAACCCCACCTCAAACTTGTATCTCAAACAGACTGTTAAAAAATGATTGCGATTTCCTCAAAGAGTATGATGTCATACTCCTGAGGAGGATGAGCTGGCCAATCAGCGGTCTAGAGGAGGATGAGCTGGCCAATCAGTGGTCTACTTGCATGAATATATTTAATGACCGGTATACGCCCACACCATTCTGTTGTTGGGGTACGCCACCATCGTCCCAACACAGAAAAGCTGCTTTTTAACATACTTAATTACCATTTTTTGGAAGGAAGACTGTTTCACTCATGTTGTAAGTAATTCTAGGTCATTTTTCATAGAAATCTGGAAACACTGGACAGCTACATAAAAATATTGTTATAAATATTTATATTCCTAAAACATAAGTTGAAAATGATACTGTTGCTGCTTCCTGTTGTCATGGATTTTTCATTTACAGCCCAGTGTCAAAATACATTTACATTTTAGTCATTTAGCAGACGCTCTTACAGTTAGTGAGTACATACATTTTTTTCCCATATTTTTTTTCATACTGGTCCCCCGTAGGAAACGAACCCACAACCCTGGCGTTGCAAACACCATGCTCTACCAACTGAGCTACACGGGACTAAAATACTGGTTTTAAATGTCCAAATTCATTATCAATATGCTGAAATAGGTCAAAATACTCTGTACACATACACTACCAGTCAAAAGTTTGGACACACCTACTAATTCAAGGGTTTTTCTTTATTTTTACTATTTTTACATTGTAGAATAACAGTGAAGACATCAAAACTATGAAATAACACATATGGAATCATGTAGTAACCAAAAAAGTGTTAAACTAATTATTCAAATAGCCACCCTTTGCCTTGATGACAGCTTCGCACACTCTTGGCATTCTCTCAACCAGCTTCATGAGGTAGTCACCTGGAATGCATTTCAATTAACATGTGTGCCTTCTTAAAAGTTAATTTGTGGAATTTATTTACTTCTTAATGCGTTTGAGCCAATCAGTTGTGTTGTGACAAGGTAGGGGGGGTATACAGAAGATAGCCCTATTTGGTAAAAGACCAAGTCCATATTATGGCAACTCAAATAAGCAAAGAGAAATGACAGTCCATCATTACTTTAAGACATGAAGGTCAGTCAATACGGAACATTTCAAGAACTTTTAAAGTTTATTCAAGTGCAGTCGCAAAAACCATCAAGCGCTATGATGAAACTGGCTCTCATGAGGACCGCCACAGGAATGGAAAATGCAGAGTTACCAGCCTCAGAAATTGCAGCCCAAATAAATGCTTCACAGAGTTCAAGTAATAGACACATCTCAACATCAACTGTTCAAAGGCGACTGTGTGAATCAGGCCTTCATGGTCTAATTGCTGCAAAGAAACCACTACTAAAGGACACCAACAAAAAGAAAAGACCCGCTTGGGCCAAGAAACACGAGCAATGGACATTAGACCGGTGGAAATTTGTCCTTTGGAGTCCAAATTGGAGATTTTTGGTTCAAACCAGCGTGTCTTTGTGAGACACGGTGTGGGTGAACGGATGATCTCCGCATGTGTAGGTCCCACAGTAAAGCATGGAGGAGGAGGTGCTATGGTGTGGGAGTGCTTTGCTGGTGACACTATCTGTGATTTATTTAGAATTCAAGGCACACTTAACCAGCATGGCTACCACAGCATTCTGCAGCGATACGCCATCCCATCTGGTTTGGGCTTAGTGGGACTATCATTTGTTTTTCAACAGGACAATGACCCAACACACCTCCAGGCTTTGTAAGTGATGGAGTGCTGCATCAGATGACCTGGCCTCCACAATCTCCCGACCTCAACCCAATTGAGATGGTTTGGGATGAGTCGGACGGCAGAGTGAAGGAAAAGTAGCCAACAAGTGCTCAGCATATGTGGGAACTCCTTCAAGACTGTTGGAAAAGCATTCCAGGTGAAGCTGGTTGAGAGAATGCCAAGAGTGTGCAAAGCTGTCATCAAGGCAAAGGGTGGCTATTTGAAGATTCTCAAATATGAAATATATTTTGATTTGTTTAACACCTTTTTGGTTACTACATGATTCCATATGTGTTATTTCATAGTTTTGATGTCTTCACTATTATTCTACAATGTAAAAAATAGTACAAATAAAGATAAACCCTTCAATGAATAGGTGTGTCCAAACTTTTGACTGGTACTGTACGTGTCACAATTGTGTTCAGATTACTTGTATTTTGCTAAATTAGTACCTTATAAACTACACATGCACCAGCATTTTCCAATCGTCCTCAAATTGATTAGCTTGTTGTATTGTAATCAATAGCGCACGCAAACTAATCACATAGACATTGTATTGAAATCAATGGGACAATAACCGCGGTGACATGTACCATTTGTGCTCTTCTAAAAGACAAACCACAACAAACTTGTGTAAATTACATATACCTGTCGATAGATGAGAACCTGTAGTAGCCATTTATCAACTCATCTCCTTGTGCAACCATGTTGACGGTAAATGGCCAATACGAAAAAGGAAACGCAACACTTTTTTGACTGGATAATTTCAACGAATCGTCACCTCACAGGTAGTTCTACATAGTGACAGGGGTTGGATTTCATTTGAGTGACAGCTTGACTGTGAAATCCGTGTATTTGTTTGTGGCCAGTGACTTTTATACAGAAATTGCTCCAAATTATTTGTGCCATTTGAGTTTGAAAATGACAACTGCGTTCTAAGTCATGCAACGGACAGGTGCGTATGATAAAACCAACAGTACCAAACCAAAGATATTGTAGCATCAATGTAGCATCATCTTGATGACTATAAACTGTTATATTAACATCACTAATCTGAGGTAAAAAGGATGTGTAATTCCACTACATTTTATGTTTTGAAATTGCAAGCTTGTGTAAGTAAGGTAGTAACACAAACTGTCCACATTAGGTAAATTAGCAATAGAAAATAATTTCATATGGCCAAAAATATCCAACAACAATAATTCAATTTAAGATGATAGTATATGTTACCCACTCACAAACTATTCCAACAATTACATATATTTCTCACTCATTTAACCATTTAGAGAGTAAAAAAATGCTCTCAAACACAATTGAACCAGGCACTCTAGATTAGAGCTTCCATAGTGTCTGTGCAGCAGCCTGAACGTTCCACGTCCTTACCTCTAGCTCCAGTATTCTGAATTCCAGGAGCTCATTCTGGTCCTTGGAGTCTTGCAGCTCCTGTTGCTGTCGACTGCATTTTCCATCCAACTTTTCCACCTGCAGAAGACCAGAGGGATAGCATGAAGGTCAGAGCCTGCCAGTAGCATCGACTTCCATACCCTATACAATATCAAGTGGTGCATGGTGAATGTTCAGATCCAAAATGACTACCATGTATCACCCTTCTTGCTAGCAGACATTGGTGGGGGACAAAGTGAGTTGACTTTAATATACAAAGTAAAGTGCATCCAGTAATGATGCATTGTGTCATGCAATATTACGATCATATCAATGATATCATTGCAGGACAGACCTTTTCCAGCAGCTCCTGATTCCTCCTGAAGAACAGCTGTTTCTCCTCTACCCACTTGGAGTCCTACGAGAGGAGAACTAGGTTTCAATGAGGGAAAAATGGTCTTCTCTTACAGATGTACTTACTTTGATCACTCTGTCGTCGAATATCATTTTTCTGCGCCGCAGGAAATTTAAACCTGTAGTGTATTCGAGTTTTAAAAAGTCTTCTAAAGATTGTAATTCCCACATAAACATTTCTGACTTGATTTGCTCTAAGGAAAATTGTATCAACCCCTAAAAAAATGCCATATAATTATAACACACAGAATAATTAAAATGTCCTGTTGCTGCTGTGAGAAACTGGTCAAATTAAGAGAGTACATCTGTACTTGCAACCATAGAATTAGAATGAGTGTACCAAATTAGTTTCCCAGTCAAATTGCCATGGTCTGAGGTTCTATGCCCATTCTACTCATTCTATTTCAATGGTTACACATTGAAGTGTTATACAAAATCTACCATATCCCGTAAATAGATATCATAGCTATCCCACCATGGATAGCATTTCAGTTTGTTAACTGAACTGACCCACAGTGTATGAAATACTAGTGTCAATCACAACCCCATTCAAAATTGTTCTTCACTGTTGTGAGGCAACAGAATCAAAACCATTCATTGACATTCCTCTCAGTCCCCAAGATTAATCACTATTGACAGTCCAACTCTGGAGTTGTAATGACATTTTCACAGCCCTGTTACATTTGGTACTCCTAGTATGTAAATAATTGCATAATAACTATGGTCACATACAGTACAAGCCATCCATGCACAGTAATTCAGAGACTGGGACATTGTGTATAGCCTTCCTCTATGTTGTAGGATGTGTCGTAAATGGCACCCTATTCCCTTTATAGTGCACTACTTTTGACCAGACATAGCCCTATGGACCCTGGTCAAAAGTAGTACACTATATAAGGAATAAGTGTGCCATTTGGAAACAGCCCATGTCTTAGTGTTGGTCTGTGGGATAATGTCCTTTACCTGTCCTTTGTGGGCGAGCTCCTTCTCCAGGTCTTCTATCTTGGCCTTGTACCTGAGAACATCTGCATGGAGCTGCTCCTGAGCCTGGGACACACAACATATCCACATTAACATCAACCATTTCATACAGCCGTATGAGACGGGTGTTGTTGTTATAGAATACATGGGCAGTGATAGTTGTAGTGGCGTATATAACCTGTATGCAGTCTTATACACAATTTTACTGAATACAGAAACAAATCTGGCATGACCGCATCCCTATTGCCCCAGATAATGTCAAAAACACAATCTTACGCGGGTGACATTTAACTGAAAATTAATGGCAGTGGTACTGTACCTTAGCTTCCATCTCAGCATCCAGAAGGCCCCCTTGATGTTCCTGTAGCAGGGCGTATGCCCTCTGTAAGGCCTGGTACTCTCTGGTCAGCTGCCTGAAGCGCAGCTCCGACTCCTCGTTAGCCAGTCCCTGTGTTGATGGACGTACCCCAGGGTTAGAGAGAAGACATTGGGAACAGGAGAGAGCGAGAGGGAAGCCAGGATGAGGGTTGATGGACAGAGAGATTAGAAACACATTGGTTCAGAAAGACAGAAGTGAAAGTGCTTGAGGCGGCAGGTAGCCTAGCAGTTAAGACCGTTGGGCCAGTAACCGAAAGGTCGCTGTCTTGAATCCCCAAGCCGACTAGGTGAAAAATCTGTCGATGTGCCTTTGAGCAAGGCACTTAACCCTAATTGCTCCTGTAAGTTGTGCTGGATAAGAGCGTCTGCTAAATGACTAAAATGTAAATATTGCATGGATGCTGATTTGCTACTGGTGCTTATGCAAAGGTTATTGATCCCTTATCATAAATAAAGTTCCCTCCCCACCCAGGGTCTGTGTCTATTTCCTGTGATGTGAACAGCTCTCACCTGATCCAGGTCTTCATCAGGAGTGGCTGGGGTGCGGTCCATGCGAAACGAAGCCAAGGAGGATGTCTCCGAGTCCATGGATTCCTCATCGTATCCAAAGAAGGTGTCCACTACAATGTGCCTCTGTGTAGGGAGAGATCACAGGATTGTTTGGAAATCAGATATTTCCCAAGGCAGATTACTGTATTATTGTATTGTATTGTGTAAATGTGGCTTCCTCTACCTTTATTGGCCTGTTGCTTCGTTTATGCCTCTTCTTCCGCAAGAGCTTTTCCCTATCCTGAAAGACACAGAGTATATCAGACCTACCAACAAACAAACATACAACTTTAGCAACCATGGATACATTTCATTTGATCAGCTAATTGTATCTGGCAAAGAGCAAAATAGTCAGATACTGTGTGTCCACCAGTTCTCTTTGTGCTTAGTAAATCAATAGTCAGATACTGTGTGTCCACCAGTTCTCTTTGTGCTTAGTAAATCAATAGTCAGATACTGTGTGTCCACCAGTTCTCTTTGTGCTTAGTAAATCAATAGTCAGATACTGTGTGTCCACCAGTTCTCTTTGTGCTTAGTAAATCAATAGTCAGATACTGTGTGTCCACCAGTTCTCTTTGTGCTTAGTAAATCAATAGTCAGATACTGTGTGTCCACCAGTTCTCTTTGTGCTTAGTAAATCAATAGTCAGATACTGTGTCCACCAGTTCTCTTTGTGCTTAGTAAATCAATAGTCAGATACTGTGTGTCCACCAGTTCTCTTTGTGCTTAGTAAATCAATAGTCAGATACTGTGTGTCCACCAGTTCTCTTTGTGCTTAGTAAATCAATTGTCTCTTGTGACAGACTGCTAATACAGTGGGGAAAAAAAGTATTTAGTCAGCCACCAATTGTGCAAGTTCTCCCACTTACAAAGATGAGAGAGGCCTGTAATTTTCATCATAGGTACACGTCAACTATGACAGACAAATTGAGAAATTTTTTCTCAAGACAATCACATTGTAGGATTTTTTATGAATTTATTTGCAAATTATGGTGGAAAATAAGTATTTGGTCACCTACAAACAAGCAAGATTTCTGTCTCTCACAGACCTGTAACTTCTTCTTTAAGAGGCTCCTCTGTCCTCCACTCGTTACCTGTATTAATGGAACCTGTTTGAACTTGTTATCAGTATAAAAGACACCTGTCCACAACCTCAAACAGTCACACTCCAAACTCCACTATGGCCAAGACCAAATAGCTGTCAAAGGACATCAGAAACAAAATTGTAGACCTGCACCAGGCTGGGAAGACTGAATCTGCAATAGGTAAGCAGCTTGGTTTGAAGAAATCAACTGTGGGAGCAATTATTAGGAAATGGAAGACATACAAGACCACTGATAATCTCCCTCGATCTGGGGCTCCACGCAATATCTCACCCCGTGGGGTCAAAATGATCACAAGAGCGGTGAGCAAAAATCCCAGAACCACACGGGGGGACCTAGTGAATGACCTGCAGAGAGCTGGGACCAAAGTAACAAAGCCTACCATCAGTAACACACTACGCCACCAGGGACTCAAATCCTGCAGTGCCAGACGTGTCCCCCTGCTTAAGCCAGTACATGTCCAGGCCCGTCTGAAGTTTGCTAGAGTGCATTTGGATGATCCAGAAGAGGATTGGGAGAATGTCATATGGTCAGATGAAACCAAAATAGAACTTTTTGGTAAAAACTCAACTCGTCGTGTTTGGAGGACAAAGAATGCTGAGTTGCATCCAAAGAACACCATACCTACTGTGAAGCATGGGGGTGGAAACATCATGCTTTGGGGCTGTTTTTCTGCAAAGGGACCAGGACGACTGATCCGTGTAAAGGAAAGAATGAATGGGGCCATGTATCGTGAGATTTTGAGTGAAAACCTCCTTCCATCAGCAAGGGCATTGAAGATGAAACGTGGCTGGGTCTTTCAGCATGACAATGATCCCAAACACACTGCCCGGGCAACGAAGGAGTGGCTTCGTAAGAAGCATTTCAAGGTCCTGGAGTGGCCTAGCCAGTCTCCAGATCTCAACCCCATAGAAAATCTTTGGAGGGAGTTGAAAGTCCGTGTTGCCCAGCGACAGCCCCAAAACATCACTGCTCTAGAGGAGATCTGCATGGAGGAATGGGCCAAAATACCAGCAACAGTATGTGAAAACCTTGTGAAGACTTACAGAAAACGTTTGACCTGTGTCATTGCCAACAAAGGGTATATAACAAAGTATTGAGAAACTTTTGTTATTGACCAAATACTTATTTTCCACCATAATTTGCAAATAAATTCATAAAAAATCCTACAATGTGATTTTCTGGATTTTTTTTCCTCATTTTGTCTGTCATAGTTGACGTGTACCTATGATGAAAATTACAGGCCTCTCTCATCTTTTTAAGTGGGAGAACTTGCACAATTGGTGGCTGACTAAATACTTTTTTCCCCCACTGTATACAGTAAATGTTAGCTGGCCAGTGCACACAAGATTTGGTTCTGGGTTCAACCGAGATTAGTAAATCAACACCTTTGATCATTTTAGAAGTGAAAGCCTATTTGTAAAATGTACTATTTGACTAAATGTATTTGAATGATTTTTACATTGAAAAAAAATTAATATCCCGTAATAAAAGTTGTTAAAAAAAATAAGTAAATGCCTATTGTTAGTGGTGAAGTCATATTTCTCTCTCTCTCTCTATATATATATATATATATATATATATATATTTATTTATTTATTTATTTTCTTTACCCCTTTTTCTCCCCAATTGGTAGTTACAGTCTTGTCCCATCGCTGCAACTCCCGTACGGACTCAGAGAGAGGCGAAGATCGAGAGCCATGCGTCCTCCGAAACACGACCCTGCCAAGCCGCACTGCTTCTTGATACACTGCTCGCTTAACCCGGAAGCCAGCCTCACCAATGTGTAGGAGGAAACACCGTACAACTGGCGACCGTGTCAGCGTGCATGCACCCGGCCCGCCACAGGAGTTGCTAGAGCACAATGGGACAAGGACATCCCGGCTGGCCAAACCCTCCCCTAACCCGGACGATGCTGGGCCAATTGTGCGCCGCCTCATTGGTCTCCCGGTTGGCTGCCGGCTGCGACACAGCCCGGGATCAAACCCGGGTCTGTAGTGACGCCTCAAGCACTGCGATGCAGTGCCTTAGACCGCTGCTCCACTCGGGAGGCCCGAAGTCCTATTTCTAAAAGGAGAACTCACTCTTGTCAGGTCGTCGATTATGCTCTGCTGCTCCAGCACCTGCAGCTTAAGGAACTCAATCTCCTGGTCGTCATGTGCCTGGTCCAGATCATTCAGAGACTTACAGTTGGATTTCTTCAGCGGTGGGTGGGAGCTGATCTTCTCCTTCTGCACACACAGAAAATACCTTTGTGAGTGGAACCAGTTGTAAGTCTATCTCTCAGTATGTGCTCATCATGAATAATGAAGATTTGTGGTGGTTAGGGTACTGAGGCCAAAGCCACAATATTATGCACTTCTAAATCTACAAGACTAATGCAGACTTTAAAGCTTTGGTTCCATTTACTTTACTTTGATAAGGACTGTCATCGTGGCCAATGTGTTGCAGACAGTCTTCATAAAAACTTGAGCTATTGAGGCATGCTATGCTTGTACTAAACTATTGGAGCCCTGGTTGTATTGAGATCTGTGCGACGATGACACTCGCCATAGAAATATAATTACTAGAATAGGAATTCCCCTTTTAAGTCAATGTTCTGTAATTATATTTCTATGCCACTCACCATCTCCAGGTTCTCTTTGGCCAGGCCTTTGAGTTTCTCTTCCATGCGCTGCAGGGTCTGGCTGAGGTCATCATTCCTCTTGTTCAGCATCTTGTTCTTGTCCAGCATGGGCTTGCACTGCTTCTCCGACTCCCGCACACGCTTTAGCTGAGAGAGAGAGAGAGAGAGAGAGAGAGAGAGAGAGAGAGAGAGGCTCGTCAAGTCAACTTGGCAGGGGACTAAATACTGTAATTGTAACTTCTTAGCAGGTACATTCATTGCATGTTTAATGAATCCAGATGAAGACAGATTGTTATCGTTCAGTGACAGAGCATTAAGATGTGATTCTCTGCCAGGCAGGGAGAGTTCAGAGTGACCAGGTCATACCAGTTCATTCCTCTCGTCCACTAGCAGTGAGTTGCGGTCCTCCAGCTTGCGGACGGTGGAGTTGAGGTCAGCCATGCGCCTCTGGTTCCTGCGCATGTCCTAGGTTGTTCAAACCGAACGCACTGTTAGCTCACTGGCATCTTACAACACACTACATTCACTCTTGGACGCAGTCTTTGACACAGCGACAACAGTAAAAAGATTATATGATGTTCTATAATATAATCAATTATTTCAATAACATGTATTATACATTGAATAATAAGATGTTGGTGCCATTTTAATTCAGGAAAATTAAGTTTTATCATTTTATACGTTTCTGGGACGTTTATTTTTGAAGTTCAATTATTGGGTAATTCTTTCTACGTATCAGTCACATCTCTCTAGAAATATTAGCCAAAAAACAGTCGTTTTCTGTCATGTAGTGATTTTCAAGCAGACCACTAACCCAGAATGTGAGACTGCATTGAAACCTCACAGACTTATTGACTGACCAGCATTCTTCAGAAACAATGCTCTTCAGAGCCCTTCCTTCAGTTCTTTGTTCAGTACCAGATAGAAGCTTGTTTTATTCTAGAAGGTAGGCATTTAAATACTTGTTTGTTGTGGTTTTCATTTGACAAAATATCTAGTACTACTGGTTTGTCATGTTTTAAAAAAGTGATATTGCTCTCATAGAAAGTAATTCCTTGAGCACTACACATGTAGCATAAAAACTGAAATGTGCATATGAAGATATGAAGGGATGCATTTGCCCTATAGTTAGAATTTTGTATTTTGTTGGTGGGGCACTATGGAGTAGAGATCTTCACGGACCCGTTCCGAAATGGACATGGGGCTTTCCCACACGTACCTGATATATATATATATATTTTTTTATATATAGAGACTTGTTCCGAACGGACCCGAGGAGAACTTGACCCGTTCCGTATAGACCTAGTCAGATCCAGACCCGATCTTTATTAACCGAAGCTGATAAAGCGGGAGAGGAGGGAGAGAGAGGTCCCGCTCTAGCATGCGGGGGAAGGGCTGTACTGTGAGCGAGTGAAGGGAGGAGGGAGGGAGAGATGAGAGACAGCAACCAACTAAGCAGACTCGCGCTATAGTAAACTAGTAGCTGCCATAAATAGGTTATTTATCATCATATATGAGGTATTATATGAGTGATAAAACTTTCATATAGAGAATGGCCACACCCAAACTGTGTTTGTTTGACACTGTGTGAAAGCAGTTTGATCATTGTCCTGCAATGTGCAAAGATCATGTTTCTCTGTATGGATGAGGTGATCGGAGTGATTCGAATTGCAGGCTAATTTAATCCTATCCTTAAAAGTATATTTCTGACCACTTATTCATGTCATTCTTCTCAAGCTTTTTCCGCATAAACTGTGTAAACTAGTATAGGCCTACAGTATTTTACATCTCATTATCGGTTAACTGTCCGATTCATTTCCATTTCTTTTGAAATTGGCTTCATTGTTACATTTCAATAATCTACAGGCTGTTTTGTACCATTTCCAAGTTCCCTTCTGCCTTTCTATGTCGTACCGGGCTGCCACAGTGCTCCGCCCCGTCCCCAGCCCGCCCGGGGATCTCTCTCTTGGGGCTGCCCAGGTTACACTCTGCCTCCTTGACCAGGAACAGCTGGTCATCCAGGGCATCCTTCTGCATCTGCATCTTCTGCAGCAAACCAATGGCATTCTCCAGCTCCTTCTCCAGAGAGAAGATGGTGCGCTCTTTGGACTTGATCTCATCCACCTGAAGGAGGGCATAGCAAACAGGAAACTCAGAGAGTGGTTAATGGGACACAGAGAGATGGACAGGACAGACTGACTGTCTCAATGATTGATTGATTGATTGATTGAGACAGACAGACATGTGCACAGTTCCATTCAAAAATCCATTCAAAAGAGCAAGGGTGAAAGTAGATTTAATGTATTCCTGGTACGGGACCTCCTATGTGTTCATGCGCTTGCGGCTGACAGGAGGTAATGATTAATGATGGTGTAATAGCCTACATTTTTCTTGCCATCTTTGTTTAAATTATTGTGATGTGCTCTTGTTTTACCGGTACGCTGTACCAGCGCAGTTTTTTGGTCTAGTACTCCATACCAGACCGTACTGGCTTAATGTGACCCCTGCAAAAGAGTATCATGTGAAATAATGATGTATCATATCATGTAACATATGTCATTTGATGATGACCATCACAATTAGCAAGAAAATATAAATGGATCGTTCCATGAAATGAGTGCCTTTTAATAATAATAATAATATGCCATTTAGCAGACGCTTTTATCCAAGGCGACTTACAGTCATGCGTGCATAAATTTTTTGTGTATGGGTGGTCCCGGGGATCAAACCCACTACCTTGGCGTTACAAGCGCCGTGCTCTACCAGCTGAGCTACAGAGGACTTTTGCGTCCCTTTAATATTTTAAGTAGAAATTGTGCACCAATATTGAATTTTAAAAGCCTGTTGTATTAAATTAATTGCCTTTCAATATAGACCACATGGAAAATTCAATAAATCAATACAATTCAGCATTTTGACATGGCCCTCCATCAACCCTGCATCACTTCTAGGAAGAGTTTAACCCACTTAATCCACACATTTCTCAAAGTTTCACCATCATTGTAAAGCCCTGGTTATTTTGTTGTTTAGACAAAGTCATTTCTGAATAATATTATTTATTTCATGTGATTAGTGATTCATTTACGTCTGTTTGTCCCTCATTTTAAGGTCAACCCTGTTACGTGAACTGAACTTTCGTTTTAATATGGTGAAACTATTCCTTAAAAAAATATTTTTAAATAAGAAACATTAAACATCTAATAGTCAAATCATAGAGTAAAAGCAGGTGAGCTGGTTCTACTATTTTTGTCAATTTGATGGTGTTTTAGGGTGGGAAACTGAGAAATGTTTTAACAATTTAATTTTTGGGGGTGAAGCTTGCATTCAATTGCCACTCGCTGTTGCACACAACAAGCTTCCATTCCCCCTGTAACAAGGGGATGTATGGCTGATTTAAGAATAAATTGCCAACCCTGTAACTTTATTTGGCACTTAATAAGCACTTAGTATACATTTTTATTTACTTAATCTTTTGAGATGGGAAAACTTGCTTTTTATGAAGTTGAACATGTGCTCTTTATGACAGAATATAACAATTTGGTGAACTATATAGACCAGCTATGGCTACGTCTGGTATTCAGTAAGACATGCATCCACAATCAGACCCTCTGCTCTTCCCTCTACCCATCCTCCAGTCAGACAGTATTTACCAGTCTGCGGATGTCCTTCTCGCTGTCCCACTTGATCTTGGAGATCTGTTCCTGGTGCATCTGATGCTCGGAGCGCAGATCCCCGGCCTTCATCTTATCCGCCTGGATCATGGTGCTGAGCGCCTCGTCCGTCTGCTTTTTGTTATGCTTGAGCTCAGAGATCTCTTGCAGCAGCTTGACCCTCTCCACGTCGAAAAAGCGCCGTGCCTCCTCCTTGGCCTCTAGGGTCAGCGCCGTGCGCACCTTCTCCCCGCTGCCGTCCCGCATGGCGCTCAGCGCCGCCTTGAGCCGCTGGTTCTCCTGGTCCTTGATCTTTGCCGTCCGGGCCTGCTCCTGCTCGTGCTGGCGGACCAGGTTCTCCCTGAGTGCCTGGAGCTCCTTCTGCTTCTCCTCGTGCCATTTGGAACGCTGCTCTGTCAGCGTGGCCGTGTGCCGGTGCTGCTCCTGCTCCCGGATCCGCTTGCACTCCTGCACCTTCTCACGCTCCAACTTACTCACCTAGCCCCCGGGGAGAGAGGTAGAGGAGCCGAAGAGAACTGGGTTACACTATAAAAGCAGCAAGGTCAGAGAGATACCATTCTCCTCATCTATCACCTATTACGTAGATAAAGAGATTCATTACAGTGTCAAATATAATTAGAAAAACAGATAATGGCAGACAGACCAAGACCAAGCAGAGATGTCGATCTACCATCGCATAACGGTTGGCTTAGGTAGTGCAGGTGAATGTACAACACAGCAATAGCCTATATCTACTGTGTGCCAACTGTGAAGGGGTATACCTCAGCCAGACCAGGTCAATGTATAACTCAAAACATTACTGTACATCTAAGTAGAACCTTATAAAATTTTGAAAGCTAGCTGTATGTCAAAGGTTGTGTGTAGTAACCATATGTAACAAATTAATCTAAACAACATGCGTAAGACATTCAAAGTTACACATCATCTGCAGTTGAACACACTGTTATAGGTGTATTTGAGAAGGGATGATTTCCATGCAATGTAGTGTTACAAAATGGCCTACCTTGCATTTCTCTTGATGCAGTTCTATTTGAATGTCAGTCAGTTTGGACCGGAGATCTTCGTTAGCTGCCTGTAGGGCAGAGATGAGCGCTTCGGGCTTCTCGCCCTTGGTACGCCCCTTCTTCGCCATTGAGTCAAATACTACAGCTCCTCCAATGCTTTCATAGAGACTTCATAGACATGAACAGAGGCCCTCCCGAGGTTTCCAGTTCTTCCTCTTCCTCATTATCTTAGTAGACAGTAGAGCTGTGTGTGGGGAGGAATAAGAAACATTTTTGACAATTGTCATTGAAGGATATGAAGCTCATCTCAACTTAACTGTTTACATTCATTGATTATTCAAGTCTAATAGTAAAGCAGTTCATTGCATGGTGCTGGCAATATACAGTACAGTATTGGCAGTAGCCGCTGGCAGGAGTGGCTCATTGATTTAGACAGGTCAGGCAGCTGCACAGTGTGTAAACATTGACCAGGTTTCCATCCTCACAGATGATGACTACAGAAGGACAGTGTCAGCCAGTGGTTTTCTATGCCAAATGTTACAATCTATTAGACCGATGCAGACCAGTGGACACATAATTGAACATCAGCATGTGAAAGAACCAGTAGGCTACATCCACAACGTAGTATACATAAGATGAGACGCAACTTGATGTGACGGTCTTAAGGAGTTTTATTTAAGAACCAAGTTTGTTTGATCTGAACGGTCGAGTTTTAGAATTTCTCATGTTTCCATGATTCAACATGTCAAACCTTTAGCTACCGATGTAGGATCTTAATTTGATCACTCTTTTGTTGCTGAAAATGTTCCTGCACGGCAGGAAATGCAAACTTGTAGTGTATTCAAGGTTTAAAAAGGCTTCTAAAGTTTGTAATTCCCACTTTAAAATGTCAGACTTGATTTGCCCTAATGAAAAATGTATCAAACCCTACAAAAAAAATTCATTAATTATAATCCACATAATAATTCACATTTCCTGTTGCTACAGGATTTTTTCCTGCTGTAGCAAACTGGCTAAAATTAAGTCACAAAGTGTACCCTGTTTCTGGTGCATGTATTTCATGACACTTGTTTGCTACAGCAAGTGGCAAATTTGTTTTAAAGTTTCATCACGTCATTGTAAAGAGACACGTTGAAACAGTCTCAACTGCATGTCTCGTCTTCTTGATCTGAATGCCCTGTCTTTAGTCAGCACAACATTCTAAAACTAGCAAGTTTTATCTTGTCTCATCTCATGACAGCTGTTGTATCTGAACTGGGCTTTAGAGGTGAACAATACTGAAACAATATTGTTTTTCTAACTGTACAAATAATGTGCTGCTCATGCCAATTTGATGTATGGCACTCTACACGTGTTATACATGTTGTTTGATAAGAAAATGGGTGTTGGTGTTGGTGGTGGTTGTTAGAGTAGAGAGTGGGGGAGGGGAAGGGCAGCTGTATATACACTGGTAGTGCTGTATACAGTAGGGCACAGCATGGTGCTGTGTGCTTGAATAAGGAGATTTAGCCTAAAGTAGCAGGCGTAAAAGAAATGCCTGAAACTAGATTCCCTACATACTGGTCTTGACAAGAAGAAAAAAAAAACATGTTTGGTGTGGTTCTCTTCTGCACTGTTCAACCAATCCAGTAAATGTGGAGGAGGAGTTAAGATGGAGTGTCGCCTTGTTAATGACCAAAAGCGGAAGTCGCATCACAGGTTCTCTTTCCATTTCCCCTGAAAACCGGAACGTCCGGTTGTTGGGGACTCTGCAAAGGCTAAAGGAGATATTACATTCTTACGAAGACTGTATAACCCATGTGCTATAGTTTCAGCCACTGTACACACACAGTGCTATAACCCCCTTGCATAATCTACTTATAATCAGAGACAGAGGCCTAATGATGATTCAAATATTACACTAAGATTTCAGATGAAGATTCTAATGTCACGTTTCTTCCTCATGCGCTTATCAGTCCACTGGTGCTAGGCTTTTTAATCGCTGTCAACTCTGGTGAGTGTTGCTCGTGGCTTCTGTCCAAAGGACCATGGCTGTTTTGAATTACTGTTGATATTATTTGCGTGTGAATATGCAGACGAAACAGCAAGAGACATTGGATCATCCACCATTCAAAAGCAAAGCAACATAGGCTATTCTCTGGAGTCTTTATGACCTTTCTAACAGCAAATGGGTCTGGTATGGCTCTGTTCTGGAACATTTGATCCTAAAAGAAAAAGGATGACATGGCTAGGATAACTGTGGTTCCATGCCACATCAGAATGTCAAAAGGCCTAATGCAACCTAATAACGTGACAGAAAGTCATCCTAGTTGTTGTCTGAAAACATTATGGAATCCTTACTTCTAAATACAATGTGGTATACATTGTTCATTGTGGGCTAATCAGCAATTACAAGCACGAATGCATGTGAGACAGGCACTATCTTTGTCCAAAGCACTTCTGGGCAAGGGTAGGAAAGCATACATGAGTAGGCCTACTACTCACTTAGAGTATAGTAAAATCAGTTGAAAATAATCACAGAGAATTAGTCTTGTCCAATACTGATGGGTATGCATGAAATGCAAAACGAATGTAATGGTATTGAAATGAATGCTGACAGACACTACTACAAGGTCCACTAGTACTGTGGCTGGGTGAATACATACAGACATTCTTTGTCTGTGAAGGGCTGTCTGCCTCCAATGCCATCCGTTACACTCTTATGTAAACTCCAGATTTAAAGTGAATTATTAACATTTGATGTAATTAAATGACACGGTTTGGTCACATCGAATACTAAGTTGAAAACGATTTATAGGTTTTTAGGTAACAATCAATAGCTCAATAATGTAGGACTGGGCGATACGGACAAAACATCATATCACAATATTTTTCAAATCTTTGATGGTATGACAGTATTTGACGGTATTTTATGTTTTTATAATAAATGTTCTAAATATGCTTAATGAGTAGTGCATGACCTTAGGGTGGCTATACTGTTCAAACTTCAACCAATGTTTATTTCATGGATCCCACCATGTCGAACAAACAAATTATCTGTCGGCATTCATAAAATTACACAGAAACTTCCTGTTTCCATCACAGCTGTCGTGATATTTTTTCATACGATATGACTTTTCGCATAAAAACTGTGGATGAAAACAAGGTTTGTGACCATGTATTTTGAAAGGATTCAACGCAGTTCTTACTTTCGCCACAGGGTGATTTTGCCACTGCCTCACAGGCAAGATTCATTACAAAAAAGTATATGCAAGCACCTTCGGCACCAGCGCTGCCTCACAGGCACTAGTGATGAGCGTTCCCTTTTTTTCAATGAGGCGGATCTTTTGGCTCCGTTCACGTAAAAGAGCCATTCATTTGGCTCCCAAACGGCTCTTTGTTCAGTAGAGCATAGAAATTGATGAAAAACTATGAAAAATTGCATATTTCTAATGTACAGTGCTGTGAAAAAGTATTTGCCCCCTTTCTGATTTTCTCTACTTTTGCATATTTTTGATACTGAATGTTATCATATCTTCAACCAAAACCATGGCCTAGTCAAAGTCCAGAACTAATCCAAAATTGAGATGTTGTGGCAGGACTTGAAACGAGCAGTTCATGCTTGAAAACCCACAAATGTTGCTGAGTTAAAGCAGTTCTGCATGTAAGAGTGGGCCAAAATTCCTCCACAGCGATGTGAGAGACTGATCAACAACTACAGGAAGCATTTGGTTGCAGTCATTGCAGCTAAAGGTGGCACAACCAGTTATTGAGTGTAAGAGGGCAATTACTTTTTCACACAGGGGCATTGGGTGTTGCAGAACTTTGTTTATCAAATAAATGAAATAAGTATGTAATTGTGTTATTTATTCACTCATGTTTCCTTAGTCTATTATTAGGTTTTGTTTGAAGATACGATAACATGAATTTAAAATGGATTATATTTCGATTTTTTGTCTCTGGCCTACACACAATACCCCATAATGTCAAAGTGGAATAATGTTTTTAGAAATGTTTACAAATTAATTACAAATGAAAAGCTGAAATGTATTGAGTCAATAAGTATTCAACCCCTTTGTTATGGCAAGCCTAAATATATTCAGGAGTAAAAAATTGCTTAACAAGTCACATAATAAGTTGCATGGACTCACTCTGTGTGCAATAATAGTGTTTAACAGGATTTTTGAATTACTACCCCTGTAAGGTCTTATCTGTAAGGTCCCTCAGCCGAGCAGTGAATTTCAAACACAGATTCAACAAGAAAGACCAAGGAGGTTTTCGAAAGCAGATATTGAATATCCCTTTGAGCATGGTGAAGATATGAATTACACTTTGGATGGTGTATCAATACACCAAGTCACTCTCCATATTTTCAAGCATAGTGGTGGCTGCATCATGTTATGGGTATGCTTGTAATCGTTAAGGACTGGGGAGTTTTTCAGGATAAAAAAGAAACAGAATGGAACTAAGCACAAGCAAAATCCTAGAGGAATACCTGGTTCAGTCTGCATTCAACGAGACACTTGGAGATTAATTCACCTATCAGCAGGACAATAACCTAAAACTCTCCAGCAGGACAATAACCTAATACTCTCCATATTTTCAAGCATAGTGGTGGCTGCATCATGTTATGGGTATGCTTGTAATTGTTAAGGACTGGGGAGTTTTTCAGGATAAAAAAGAAATGCAATGGAACTAAGCACTGGCAAAATCCTAGAGGAATACATGGTTCAGTCTGCTTTCCACCAGACACTTGGAGATTAATTCACCTTTCAGCAGGACAATAACCTAAAACACAAGGCCAAATCTACACTGGAGACCGTGAATGTTCCTGAGTGGCAGAGTTACAGTTTTGACTTAAATCTACATGAAAATCTATGGCAAGAACTGAAAATTGTTGTCTAGCAATGATCAACAACTAATTTGACAGAGCTTGAAGAATTTTGAAATATTGCACAATCAAGGTGTGGAAAACTCTTAGAGACTTACCCAGAAAGACTCACAGCTGTAATCGCTGCCAAAGTTTATTCTACAAAGTATTGACTCAGGGGTGTGAATACTTATTTAAATTACTGTATTTCATTTACAATACATTTGCAAACATTTCTAAAAACATGTTTTTTCTTTGTCATTATGGGGTATTGTGTGTAGATGGGTGAGATAAAAAAAATATATATATATACATTTTGAATTCAGGCTGTAACACATCAAAATGTGGAATAAGTCAAGGGGTATGAATACTTTCTGAAGGCACTGTAATTGTATGTGTGG